ACTCCTGAGTCCTGGTGGCACAGTGGGTTGAAGTGCAGTACTACAAGCTGGCTGAGGCTGCTTTAGCACAAGTTCGATCCTCGCCCCGGAGGTGACCCACATGGCGCGGCAGACCTCTCCTGTATCGCCCGCGGCTCCCCTCAGCAGTGCTCCTCGTCAGTCTGCCTGTTCTGCTCGCCCCAACTCTCTCTGATGAATCCTCTCACCCCCCATTGCGCCTCTGGCCTGCACCCCAGTTCTGTATGCATAAATAAACTTTTTAAAAAAAGAAATTTCCTGACTCATGACAGTGTGTTCACCTCAGCTCCATGAGGTGGGTGGGAAGATGGGCGTCCTAGTTCCCATCTCAGGTCTCCCCACAAAGTCATTAAGGTCCCTGCATGCTGCCTGCACCATCAGCTCCCTGGGGTCGAGCCCCCTACGTACCCGCAGGAGGCACCAGCGTCTGCCAGGGCAAGCGAGGGCACTCTGCTGCCCTCTGCTCCTGTCCCTGTCCTGTGATAACTTGTGTGACTCAGCCCCTCGTCAGTCATAAGGCCTGGGTCAGTGGCCCAGCTCTGCCACACACGCCGAGTACCCCCCTCTGTGCTCAGTTTCCCCTTTGAAGAGAGCAGGTCCTTGTGACTCTCGGGGAATGCTTTCAAATGGCATGCTGGCCTCTCTGAGGCAGACAGATGGCCGGCGATGAAAACCCAGGTACGGAAAGTGTAGGTCAGACACGAGGGTTCCAATCCCAGCTCGGCCTCCCCCACGCCAGCCCTCTGGACCTCAGTTTCCCTATTTGGTAACAACCGTAGTTCTCATCTACTGGGCTACACCAGGCCCAGACTCAGTGCTTGGTGCACACTGTTACTTTATGGGTTTTCCCCTTTATGGGTGAGAATCCTGAGACACAGAGAGGGCAAGAGACCTGCCTAAGGCCACACAGTGAGCCACCTTTTGGTTTTCTCTGCACGGCCAGGCATCCCAGGAAGGGAACTGTATCTGGAGTCCAGAGAGGCAGCTCAGAGCCTCATTTATACACCTGCTGTTACCTGGTCTGCAGCAGGGACTCCCCTCTGGGCCTCAGTTTCCATATCTGTAAAATGGGGCTCACCACACTTTTCTCAAAAGGCTCCCTGAAGCTGGAGGTGGGGAGAAGGAGGTGAGTGCATTCAGAGCCCTGGGCGCTGTACCCACAGTGGGGGCAGAAGTGACAATACGGGTCACTTGGCTTCCCCAGTCCAGGTCTTGAGTTCGTGTAGCGAGTTAATAGTGACCGAGTGAATAGCGCAGGCCCGTGGCCCTAGCCAGCCAGGGGTAGGCGGCCAGTGCCTTCCTCAGGGGCAAGGAGGCTGCCCAGGAGGCCCAGAGGCCAGGGCACCCCAGAGAAACCCCAGCATTGGGGGGACCCCTTGATCTCAGTAGTATATTACACAAATGCCTCAAATTGGATGTTTCCCTTATCAGATTTAAATACCACAGAACAGACCCAGTTAATCTCCTGAGTCGGGGCGCTTAGGGGGTGGCTGGTGGAAGAGGCCATTTTTCCCCTGGCTGGGGATCAGGAAGCTCCCCCGTTAGCCCACGAAGGGGGTAACAAGGAGTGTACTAATCTCCCCACCTTTTCCGGCTGCTGGGAGGAAGGAGTTGGCTCAAGTGGAGAAGGGAGTCCCTCTTCTCTCCTTCAAGCTGTGGCCCCTCAAATCTTGCCCCTTCTGTTTTGCAGTAAGAAGCAGCTAGAGGTGGGGGCCCATCGGCTTGGCCTTCTCTGTGCCTCAGTTTCCCCATTCAACAGAAGTAGGCCCTTTGGACTCTCAGGGAGCTTTTCCTGAAGCTTCATTGGCCACATAACAAACGTTATGGTGGCGAGAAAATAAATCAGATGGCTTGATGTATTAACTTGAGCTATGGGGAGGTCCCCTGCACCTCTCACCCCGCACACCCCTGCAGGCTACTTCCCAGCCCCTACTGGGTGCCATGCCCCGTCACTCCCAAAGACAGCGACGGACCTCGGTGGTCGCTGTTGTCAAACCCTGCAGGAGGCAGTGGCGCCCAGCCAGAGGGAGGAGTGTCAAGTAGGGACTACACCCCCTTGGCCGCGTGGCCTCCTTCGAGGGAGCGTCTTTCTCCTTCTCTGCAAAGTGGGAGAGTCACCCAGGCCCACACCTGAGATGCCTGACACCAGGAGCTCTGCGCCAGCACTCACCTGGCAGAGGTGCTCCCCAGGTGCAAGAGGGAAGAAGCACAGCCCGCCTGGCCAGGAGGGACTCGGGGCTGGCCTGCCTCGGCCACAGTGAGGCACCTGAGGGGCTTAGCTCTGCCTGACAGTGCAGTGGAGGGGCCCAGGGGGCCTCCCTGCTCCAGCACAGGTGTCAGCAGGAGCAGAAGTCTGAGGCAGGTATCTGGACTCCGAGCACAGTGCCCTTCCGGATGCCCTGGCGGTGAGGAGAAACCAAAAGGAGGCTCGCTGTGTGACCTTTGGTAGGTCTTTTGCCCTCTCTGGCCCTTGGTTCCCCATCTATAGCAAATGAGGTGTTGAAATTGTGATCCCTGAGAGCCGTCTTGCGCCTGGCACTTTGGGATTCTAGCTACAAGCTGCTTCAACAGGCGTCTGGCTGCTGTGGGAGGCTGCTGCTTGTCTGTTTCAGTTTAAACAAGTTTCGAATGGCCCTTCCACCTGGAGCCCAGGTCTCCCTTGGGTGGAGAGAAGGTTCTGGCACAGCTCCTTGAGAGGACACATGTGCTCCTGGGCAGCTTGGCTCTCTGGACACTTGCTGCATTGGCAGGGCCGTGAGGAGTCCAGGGTGTGGGCAGCAGTGAGGGCAGCGGGTAGGGAGCCGGCGACGCAATGCGGGTGGATGTGGTGATTCCATCAGGGATCAGACTGGGTCGGGGTCATCTCCCGGAGCACAGTCCAGAAGGGAGAGAGAGTGGGACTCTGAAGTCACACAGACCCGGATTCAAATCCCAATCTTGGGCCCTCCCTGGTAGCACAACGGATTAAAGCACAGCACTGTGAAGCTAGCCACAGCTGCTCCAGTGCGAGTTCAATCCCTGGCCAGGCTGGGAGCTGACCCACATGGCGCAGCAGACCTGTCTTGACTGCTGCTCCCCTCAGCAGTGTACTTCATTGATCTGTCTGTTCTGTTCCCCACTCTGTCTCTGGTGAATCCTCTCACTGCCACAGTACCTCTGGCCTGTACCCAGCTGTGTGCATAAATAAATCTTAAAAATAAAAATAAAAAAACTCACTCTTGCTTGTGGGCATCTTACTTGCTGTGACCTCTGGCAAACCACTGTCCTTCCTGGGGCCTCAGTTTACTCAGCAGAATGGGGGTGAGGAGCCGGGCACCTTGGATGGAACTGATTGTCGGGCGAGGCACACGAAGCTCTAAGCTCCATGCAGACAGGCGCTGGGAAAAGCTGGCCAGAGCCACGGGACAGCTCTGGCTCCTGAGGACCAAGGCAAGGGCTGGGGGAGTCTGCACTCCCTTGGGTGGGCCGAGTAACGGGTGTGCATCTGCTGTGCTGTCCTCTGGCTGCTGGGGCTCCCCGCCTCTTTGGGCCTCGGAAACTAGAGGGCAAACAGTGACCTGGTGGTCTCAACCGAGGGGTTTAGATGAACCTGACTAGCACCATTCTGAGAGACACCCCATCTTTTAGAAGCAGACAGTTTCAACAGTATTTACTGAGCACTTACTACATGCTAAGGGCTTTATGGACATGTTCTTACTCCATCTCATATATCTCTAAGCTGAGCACTTTTATTACTTCGTGCTCCTAGATGAGGAGACCATGGATTCCAGAGGTGGATTGGGGTCCTGTGGCGGGGCTGGGGGGCAGAGCTGAAGGGGCGCCCAGGTAGAGGTGAGCTCTCAAGTGTCTTTCAGCCTCAGCTACTGGTTCAAACTATATGGAACTTCAGAAAAACATCCCAGGATCCAGGCCAAGAGTGTCACAATTGACAGGAAATACTGAGCAAGGAGCGCGAGTGTGGAAAGTAGCAAGAATTGCCACCAGCCTGCCCCTCCCCTCCACACTCCATCCCTACACCCCCACCCCCTACCCCCAGCAGAGCTGCAGGGCTAGGGCAGACTTTGGAATCCAATCTAGCTGGGACCCTGCTCTGATGCTGACTAGCTGTGTGGCCTTGGAGTGCACAATGTCTCTGAGCTTCAGCTGCCGATCTGTAAAATGGGACCAACACCAGCACTTGCTCTCCAACCTGCCTGAGAGTGCAGAAGTGATGTTTCATGCATGTGTCTATGAAGAGCAAGGGCATGAAGTCCCCTCTGGGGGTGCTGGCGCCATTCTTCTAAGCCGGGCAGAATCCTTTCCTATTGCTCTCACATTCCAGGCAGTGACCCAGGCCCAGCCCAGGGCAGGGCCACCTGCAGGGCTAGAGCTGATGCCTGCGGCCTGCTCCCACTCACCCATCCTGTGAGGGTGCTGGGAAAGGCACGAGCTGCCCCCTAGTGGCCGAGGGCAGGAGCACACGGAGTCGGCCCCCACCCTCCTGGGGCCCAGGTCCCCTTAGCCGCGTGCTAGCCACCAGAGTCCTTCCTGGCATCCTGCCACTTCAGCAGGACCCAACTGTCAGGTGAAGCTCAAATAGGGTCAGGTAGGTGCTAAGTGCACTGGGCTATGAGCGCTAGTCTGTTTTCCCCAGCCAGAAGCTTAATTGCAGTAAGGATGACTCTAGGCCTTACACAGGTTTTTGGCTCCATGGCCTACAAGTCTGTACACTAGCGGACGTTCGTGATTCTGGGCGCCAGGAGACTTGCAGCACTCTTTGGGGAAGGCTGGAGTTGTGTTGGTGGACTGAGGGCCTCAGGCTGTCCCCGCATCTGTGCCTGTCCAGCCAGGCCATCTGGGAAACCTCCCCACAACACTGAGGTGCACACCCAGTGACCCCAGCCCCTGAAGAGCTCCAAGAAAGGGGCTGGAGCAGGGGAGGGGACAGAGACCAACGGGGGTGAGCTGTGACCGCATGTGGACGCAGAGTGAAGCGCTGTGGACACAGTGTCCATCTTTTTATTCCCCCTTTGCCATCTATTCTGCAGACCTCGCAGATACAGATTCGGAGGAAGCACAGACCGACCCTGACTTCAGTCAGCCTTGTGAGGGAGGATGAGGGCCACGACCACGACCTGGACACGGCCTCAGGGGCCAGTTGAGTCAGGGGAAAGAACAAGGGGCCTAAAGTGCGCTGTGGTGCCAGCAGAATGAAGTGGATGGAGGGAGATGGGGTGGGGGTCAGCCTGCAGGACCAGGGAAGGCTTCCTGGAGGAGGAGGGAGGGGCCTGGCCCCGAGGGCAGGTGCATGTGCAGAGGCAGGGAAGGAAGAAGGGCACCCTGCTCCAGAAACCAGATCCCCACATCCAAGCGTCCAACCACGTAGGCCAGTGAGTTCAAAGGTAAAGGCAGAGGCCTAAGTAGATGGGTGTGTGGGAGCTTCCGGTCCCACTGCTGCTGGCTCAAGAAAATGCCCAGACCGTGTCTTCTGGGCAGCCCAGCCCACTGCAGATGTTGGGGTGTCACAAGGATGGGGGCCCTTGTCAGTGGCAGGTGCCCACTGGCCAGTACAGAATAATCCACGAAGCGGCTTCTTGTTAGGGCTGCAGCAGTGTGGGCTCCTGTCAGAGGCTGTCCAGGGCCTGCTGGACAGGCGCGTCCAGGGAGGTGGCTGAGTGGACAGAGACGCCAAGGGCGCCGATGCTGGTTTCCCAGCAGTCAAAGCCACAGTTTTCCAGTGCCTGCTTTGCGGCCTCCACCTGGGGCTGCTCCAGATCTGGAAGGCGGGAGAGCGGCAAGTCAGCCCTGACAACCAGCCCCTCCCTTGGAGAATGTTCATCCCGTTTCAAGGAAAAGGCCAGGATTCAGTCTTCCTGCTGGGGGGTGCCAGGCCTCACACCCTCCCAGCAAGGGGGGCGGTCACAGGGAACACTGAACAGTGGACTCTCAAGACACAAAAGCCAGGTCTGTCAGATGGGGCCACAGACAAGCGAGGCCCCTCGAGGCCTCTGCCTCCTCACCTGGGAATGGGGCTAATAAGGACACCTCCCCCCAGCCCTCAAGGGCCCCTGGGAGGCTCCATGGGGTGAACTGTAAGTGCCTAGTGTGGCACTGGGCACACCCTCAAGAGAGGCTCTCACGCACCCTCGCCATGGACCCTGGGCTAGGAACCTCCTGTCGTGCTGGTTAGAACCATGGTGCAAGTCAAAGAGGGAGAGGGAGAGGGGAGAACTCCAGGGGGGGCAGGGGAACGGGCATACTGGCAGAGGGCCCCAAGAGCGGCGGGGTGTGGGGGCATGAACCACCTCTGGGCGTGCCTGCGGCCAGCACCAGCACATGGGCTTCCTGAGCCCACGCTTGCCTGCTGGCCCCCAGCTGGTCGGGAAAGAAGCTCCCTTGTGTAGTCACGGCCTGGCCAGGTGGCCGGCGCAGGCCAGTGAGGCCAGACAGGAAGTGCCGATGCCCGACACCTCCCAAGCTTGTAGGGGCCTTGGCAGGGAAGAGGCAGCGGGAACAGCCACCTTGCCATAGACTTCTGCCACTGCCAAGGTTCCCTTCTTGAACCTGGACAAAATTTATCAACTAATTACTAACGGCCTGACTTTATCAAGGCAGAAGAGAAGCCCAGAGAGGCGAATGAACTGGACCGAAGCCACAGAACACAGGAGACGCCTGTTCACACACAGGCCTCTCCTTCCTCCCCAGGAACCTTCGTATGCACCCAGGCCGGCCGCCTTGCCAGTCCCCTGGTACCTGTCCTGAGGAGTGTGATGCCGCAGCCGCCGCCGCCGCCACCGGTGAGCTTGCTGTGCAGCCCATGGGCTCTGGTCACCTGGCACAGCCGGTCCAGTGAGGCATGGCCCACACCCAGGGCATTCAGGTGGTGCTGGTTCATGTCGATGAGCTCCTGGAAGGGAAGGTTCACTCTATGCCACTTGGCCTGCCTGGGACGGAGGTCCTGGGCTTTTCCTACTGGCCCCATCTATCTGAATAAATGGCTCTGACAACCCAGCACACCGTCCTTCTCCTCTAGTACAAGACACTTTCTTCCCTGAAGAACTCCCCAAGGGTTTGGCATGGAGCATGTGGCCCGGTCTGGCACAGAAGCCTCTGGCTTCGGTGACTGGTCAGGGATGGACAGATGGCCCCGGCCAGGCCAATCAGGGCTCTCAGGTTTTCTGTCTCTTCCTACAGAAGCTGCTAAAACTAGGGCCTTCACTGCTGGTGCAATGGGTTAGAGAACAGCACTACAAAGTCAGCTGCAGCCGCTTCAACATGAGTTCAGTCCCCGGCCAGGGAGCTGACCCACATGGAGCAGCAGACCTCTCCTGACCCGCCCGCTGCTCCCCTCAGCGGTGTACTTTGTCAATCTGCCTGTTCTGCTCCCCACTCTGTCTCTGGTGAATCCTCTCACCCCCTGCACTTCTAGCCTGTACCCCAGTTCTGTAGGCATACATAAAATGAATCTTGATAAAAAGAGGCTGCTAAAACTAGCTGACTTCAGAGACAGGATGCCAGAGTTCTCCCTGCCACCCAGTTGGAGATTACACGGAAGATGGAAAGAGATTTTGAAACATGCTGTTTGGCCTCTGGATCCAACTATGCATGTAGTGGTTTACCTCTGGCTTCTAAATTATGAGCCAATAAATTCCTTTCCTTGCTAGAGCCTGGTGGAGATAAACTTCTGCCATTTGCGTAATTCTCAAGAAATATGCTATCCTACAGCTGCCTCAGGTCCAAATTTGCGAATAAGAACCAGTTTGTAGTTCTAACAAGGCCATGAGTAGGGGAAACAGCTAAATGTTTGTTCAGGCATCTTAAATTCTACACAATAAAAGTCCTGCTCTCCCAGGATCAAATGAGAAGTGGGTTGGTGCAACAGCCTAGGCATCCACTATTTACATTTCATTTACTGCATCAGTGTTTGCCAAATACCTGCAACACGCCAGACACGGTGCTAGAGGCCTGGGCTGTGGGCACAAGTACCCAGCTGCAGGCCCTGCCGGCCAGACTCTAAGAACACCAGCACTGGGGTCAGGCGGGCCCGGGTCTGTGTCCCAGTCCTGCTGCTTCGGGATTGTGCGCCTCTGAGGCCTCAGTTTCCCTCCTTGTCAATCAGGGATTATGAAAGTACCTACCCCTGGGCCTTCCCTGGTTAAAAGGGTTAAAGCGCAGCACTGTGAAGCTCTCGACAGCCACTGCAGCACGAGTTTGATTTCTGACCAGGGAGCTGACCCACATGGTGCAGGAGACCCCTCCTGTCTCGCCCGCTGCTCCCCTCCGCAGTGTGTTTCAGTAGCTTTGCCCATTCTGCTCCCCACTCTGTCTCTGGTGAGTCCTCTTGCCCCCTGTACCTCTGGCCTGTACCCCACTTCTTGTTTGCATAAATAAAAAAATAAATAAATAAAAAGAGTACCTACCCCATCACTGTGAGGGCCATGACAACGAGGGGGGTCTTTCATATAACAAGAAGCATGGGGGCCGTTAGCGCTTTTACCGTTGCATGACCATCGTCCCCACTGTTATAAAGAGGGACACAGAGGCTCGCAGAGGGAAATGACTTGCCTAAGGTCACAGAGGGAGGATGATACCTAGCCGGCACTGGAAGCTGAGCCCACCTGAAGAGAGGCTCCTGCCTCCAAGCATGTCCGGGCCCTCTGCCGCCACCCCCTTCTTACAGGGTTTGACAGCGTGAGCTCCGCTCCACGCCTGCGCACACGAGGGCTGCCCATCACCGAGCTGTCTGCTGGGGCCCACCTGGTTCTCCTGCCCAGGACCGGGGGGCAGGTGGGGCTGGCCCCCCCACAGCTCACACAGCCCAGCACTTCTGACAAGCAAGCAGACAGGCGTGATGGCCCCGTGGCAGCCCCAGGGCCGCGCACCGGCCCTGAGGGCGGAAGTGAAAGAAGCCTTCTGGGGGCCCCTCGCTGCGCCTGAGCGCCAGGTGTCACATTGCCGAGGCAGGTTCCAGACACCTGTCACATTCTGATCCAAAATCTGTCAAGGATCAGCTGACAGGTTGTGACACAGGAGAGCAGCTCGCTGGTTTGAGTGCAAAGCTGCCCCGGAGCCGGGCTGCACATTTCCGCGGCTGCCACAGCCAAAAATACACACAATGTCTAATCAGCGTGCTGTTCGGCGGCGTTCTCCGGGGGCTCAACAGGGTGTATTTTAGGCAGTACTCCATCATTATTAATTTCCTACTCAGGAGGACTGTGTTCCCTCCTTTCACGCGCAAGGAATTGAGGGAGAGGGGTGCTGGAAGAGGGCAAGCACGGACGCGATGAGACCCGTGCCCGGCCCGCCCAGAGCAGATGCTCCCTGAAGGGCCTCGCGCATGGCACAGACCAGAAGTCAGCGGCCCAGACACCTACTAGCTGGAAGACCCTGCACGAAGTCACTCTCGTGAAGGCCTCAGCTTCTCATCTGCAAAGTGGTGCTAACACAGCTGCTTCACAGGTAGGTTACAGAGACAAGTGAGAGGTCACAGGGGAAGAGACCTGGGACAGCAGCTTCCACTCAGGACAAGGTACCAGACTCCACTGTCTACGCGGCACAGGGGGGCACCAGGCCAAGGTGGTCCAGGCTAGGGAGTGGTGGGGAGTGCGGCAAAATCGAGACCACAGCCTCTCTCGAGGGCCCCCCCCTACACTTCCACCCCTACAGCCACATCAGCTGGACGGCCTGATCCCAGCTCCTCAGGGGAAGCCGCATGGCTGCTGAATGTCGGCTCAGTCACAGGCCAGTGGACCCTGCCTGAGGTCGAGCCCGGGCCTCGGCTTACCGAGCTGGGGGTTCATTACGCACCATTCCTGTGAGTCACCCACCAGACCCCGCTGCATGCTTAAGACACTCCAGGGAGCCCCCACCACAGCAGGGACTCAGACCCTGGCCTGAGCACATCCAGAGTGCAAGGCCTCAACCTCCACACTGGAATTATGCAATTTCATAGTTCGAAGTTTCGGAATTCTGAATTACACCACTCTGGGGTTACAAAGATGAAAAACAAGTTTAGAAGGCGGTAAATAACTACTGCACCAACAAACACAACTACCAGAAATGACAGCACTGAGGCCCGATAAGAAACTGCTCCTGGATGTGCGGACTGCCCGCGTGCCCCACACCCGGCCCAACAGCCTCCGCGCTGTTCCCGCAGCCTCTCACTTCCTCACTCTGAAACATCTGTCAAGAGGCTCAAAAATAAGGCACACGCACTCACACATACGCCTAGGGAACCGCCTGGCCTCGGTTTTCGCCCAGGGGACCCGAGTGCAGCCCGACGGGAGCTGCTGAGCGGACAGTGGTGTGCAGCGAGCGACCTGGGCCCTGCAGACGGGCTCTTACTTCCAGCACGAGGTAGTGCTCCAGGGCAGGGGCCGCCGCCATCTCTCCCAGCACGCGTTCACACTCCAGGGAAATGGCACTCATGGAGGCGAGGAGGGGGGTCACGATCTCTGGGAACTGGAGGGAAAGGAAGGGGCTGTGAGGCCAAGGGGCAGGCAGACCCTGGACCACCGGCACCTGCTCTCTGCGGAGGAAGCCGCCTCTCCTTCCCGCCTGCTGTCTGCCTGGTGGCCGACCCCACCGGAAGCCGGGCTCTCCTGCAAGGGCAGCAGGGCCACCACCCTGTCTTGCCCTCGGCTGGGGTGCAGACACAGCCGCACCGCCCTTGCTGCCAAGGCTGCCTCCCCGAGTCCCCGGCACCCCTTTCCTCCCCCACGCACGAGGCAGAGGGGAGTTAACACGCAGAGGGGCCGAGCGCCCTCCTGGCAGCGCGCCCTGGGGGAAGCTGCGCCACCTTGAGCAGCCTGCTCCTGACGCTGCTCACGAGCGCCTTGGTGCTGCGCGGGACCTTGGTGTTGGTCAGCAAGATCTTCAGGGCCGGCGGCCTGCAGGGTGAAGAGGGCCTCGGTGAACTCGGGGTGGAGGGGCAGGTCAGGGCTAAGAGTCTCCCCACATGCCATGCCACCCCAATACAAAGCAGAAGCGGAGGCCCAGGGAGCTGACAGTCAGAACAAGAAAGAGGCCGTCAGGGGAGCCTCCCACCCCCCACAACGCATCTCCCTGCAGCCCTGGGCAGCCGGACACTGGGCCTTGGCTTGCTGGCGGTGTGCTGGGCTCCAGGGAGGGGACAGAGCATGGGGTGCTCTCTTGGAGTGCAAGGTCCAAAGGTACAAGGCTTCGGTTCTGTCAGGTATGCATCTCAGGGAGCTGGAGAGTTCCATAAAAAAGGGGGGGGGACCTGGAAAGGACAGTGCAGAGGGGGTGCAGGGCGGGGAGATACCCGGGTAGCTGGCAGTCACACAGGAAAGGGAGGCTTGCAAGGATTCGGGTTCCCAGCACGCTGGGCCTCAAGGTGCCACACCAGCCACCTGGCTCCAAGCCAGATGCGGGCAGAGGCAGTCACAGCCGCTCACCTGCCCTCGGAGCTTTCTATGCCGCTCCCCGCCCACAGCACAGTCCAACGGCCTTGTGTTGAACTGTCTTTTGGGCTCACACTCCACTGAGTCATCCGACCCACCTTGGGAGCGCTGCAGGCCGAGACAGAGGGTGGAGGATTTGGAGGTGCTCTGGCCCGAGACAGCTGGAGACAGACAGACTTCCCAATACCCTTATACGCTCTTCTTTTCACAGCTCCAGATTGCAAAATCCAATAGGGCTGGGAAACGCGGCGAGAACCCTGCTCGATCTCACCACCCATGAGTCCATGAAATTACTATCGATTCTCAGACTTGGAGGCTGGCCCCCGCCTTTTTTCTAAACTTTACAAAAGATGAACATTCTATTTGGCTTTTCTCTTCCCTTTGAAAGACAAGCTGCTCCTCAAAAGGGCAGCAATATGGAAGGCCCCATCTTGATCTACTTCGCAAACACTGCACATTTTTAGGGAGAAGCACCCAGTGCGGTTGGGGAAAGGGGTCCTCTAAGCCCCATCCCCGGGATGAACGAGGAGGCTGGCCTCCCGTGCTGCGGAGAATCTGCCATCTGCTCACTGCAGCGCCCTGCAGTCAGCAGTGAAGGTCAGTTTGCCCTGGGTCCCCTCCACAGGGGCGGGAGGAGCTGGGGTACTGCAGGTCCATCAGACAAGTCCTCTGCAGACAGACCTGCTGCCTGCCCTGCCAACCCATGAGCCCAGGGCTCCTAGGATGTCAGGCGCCGCCTGCCAGGGCCGTGCCCTCATCTAAGTGAGGATGCTGGTCTTTTCTTTTCTCCTCTCCGCCTGTCCTGGTTGCTTGCTCCACTCAGCCACCCTGGCCTCCGGCTGCTGTTCAACACAAAACCAGCCACACTCCTGCCTAAGGGGCTTTGTGCTTGCATTTCCTTTGCCAGGGGCTGACCTCATCCTCTACAGCTCTGTGACCCCCAACCTTATGTAATTAGGTCTCTGCTCATATGACATCTCATTAGAGGCCTCCCCTCACCATCCCACCAAGCAGCACCCAATAGTTACAAATAGTATTTGTGGAAGGGGTAAATAAAGCACTTTATAGATAACACCCCTGATCTCATGCTCAGGAGGCCTTTTCTATGAAAAATGGAGGCATTGCCCTAGGGCCCCCACTGCCAAGTAGTAGCAGGCAGCTCCAGCCCAAGACTGCAGACCCCAGAACCCCTGCCCAGCACACACCAACTTCCTTGAGCACCCCTCTCCCCTGGCCTTCCCAGTGGAAGCCTCATCACTCATCTCAAGTAGATGTGGATACCAGTGGGCAGCATCCTCAACCAGAGTGTAGGCTGTACTAGTTTTAGATCCCCAGTTTAGTGATTAGGAGATTTATAGCTCTTATAAAACACAGCATGAAATGCCAGTCTTCCTGCCAAACCCCCAAATCTGCAGCCCGATATAGGATGTCTTACTGTCATCCACGCAGCTTCAGAACCACATAGGTGGCTTCATTCTGAGGATGGTGATTATGTGAGCCCAGCTCCCCATCCCCTCAGGCTCCTCCTCCATGTGGGTTCAGCCCAGCTGGCAGCGCCAGCACCCCTCTGGACCCCCAGGCCCACTGCCACATGCTCTGAGCAGGAGGAAGCTGAGCCACACTTCCAGGGACAGGTGCAATGTCCGGAGGCACTTCTGGCGGTCTCAGCTGGGGGATGGGCGCTCCTGGCATCTAAGCACAGTTCCTGGCTGCTAAATATACGCTGTCCTGCCCAGGAGGCGCCCACTGGAGAGAACTATGTGCCCGAAACGTCAAAGGCTGAGGCTATGAGAACCTGACAAAGAGCCTCAGACAGGCAGGCGTAGCTCCTGGAAGCCTGCAGAGCTAAGGCATAGTGCCACAGGGGTGTGCCAGGTCACTGAGCCAGTCATGGATGGCCCAGCCGGCCAGGGCCTGTGCCCAACCTCGACGGAGACTGCCCTGGGTACAGAAGGTACGAGGCCCCTGGGGCCTTCCAGCTGTGGAAAGGCCTGCAGCGGCAGCTGCTCCCATGGCCACAACTTAACCCCCTCATCTCACACGTTGCTGTGAGCACAAACAGGACAAAAGACGGCGAAGCTGACTGTGTGGGATTCCAGTTACTCTGAAGAGAAGGGGTAAAGCAGCCCAGAAAAAGGCCCAAGCCACCCAAGGCCCTCTGTTCCAAGTCTCCCGCACGCCCACGGGCTCCTGTCCTCTCTGCCCGCACGCCTTCATGAAGGTGACCCTCGCGGAGTCTGCAGTGGCCCCGTGTGCCTGCGCCCAGCTGAGATTCATCTTCATATCCCAGGCCTAGTGCAGTGTCACCAGGAACACAGGACAGTATCAATTCTTGTTTACGAAATGAACAGACAAACGGATGAGTGAACGGGCGAGCAGCTGGGTCTGGGGGGACAGCCACTTGCTGCAAGGTGAACGGCACGGCCACGCATGACGTCCCCCTCTCTGGGCAATTTAAGAGCGAAGTGGAAAAGAAAAAAGCAGAGCCGAGAGCCTGAGGCGCGCCCGGGGTGGGGGAGACCCAGGGACACAGGCCCCGCATGCAGCCCTGCCCAAGCCGAGGCCACCCTGCCCCGTTACCTCTTTAAGGGTGTGATCCTTCCTTCCTGGTAGCGGAGGGCTCCTCCTGGGAGAAAAGCCAGCGGTCAGCGCTGAGGGGAAGCTCTGCAGTGTTGCCTCTGGGGCGGAGGCTGGGTGTGCTGTGGGGTTAGAATCTCACCCCACCCCGGCAACAGGCAAGGCGCCACAATCAGGGCCTCCAGCACAGGCACGAAAGGTCCAGGAGGGTGCGAGGGTGCTCTGAGCTGCCCCAGGGGGCTCTCCCCACTGCCCAGGGCCCCATCCGGGACAGTAGGTACTGTGGTGGGGGAGAGGTGCGCTCCATAGCACTGGTTCTGCAGCTGACAGGGCAGAGGCCTGGGGAGCCCAGGCAAAGTGCAGCTGCCCAGCCCCACACATTCGATTCAGGTGTGGGAGCCCTGAGATTGCTCCCCGCACCTCAAAACACGGAAATGTGACTTCCTCGGAACCCACAGGTTCTATTCATCCAGGCAGAGCCTGGTCCTCTACAATGGTCATAAAAATTAAACAACAGAAAACAAGCTCAAGGCAGCACCCACCCCAGGTGCTGACTGCATTGTCCACTCCAGAGGGGTTTCCGTGGATCACCTTCTCCCCATGGAAGGCCCACTTGTTAATTAATTCCAGATCCTCTGAGGTCCACCTGAAGGAGACAGAAACCCATCGTTAGAGTGGAGGCGAGTGGGGGCGAGTGGGGTCACCATGGCAGCAGAGGCAGGGGCCATGGGCCCGGTGGAGACCGGAAAAGAAGGGGCTTGGCACCGGCACTCCAGAGAAGAACAGGGCCGCTCTGGAACTTTCCACACAGTGTGAGTGCCCTCTCCTCCCGCCCACCTGGCTCCGAGATGACTAGGATTGGAGCCGGCTCTGGTTGACAAGATCCTGCTTGCCGCTGGGAGACTCTGGGCACCTTACTTAGCCTCGCTGACCCCTGCTTAGCCCACCCTCGTCATAGGCTAGCTGGGGTGATGGGATGTTGCAAGGTCAAGAGCAGGCCGCAGTGTCACTGGAACAGGCCCTGCCCCCACCAGGCTGCCTTTAAGGGGAGGGAGGTCTGAATGTTTCCCAAAGCCCTTTGTGTAGGGCAAACCTCGAGCAATGTGACTCTGGACTCGGGCAACCCCAAACACCCCAAGGACCACCAAGTGTCTCTGGCTCTCTCCCAAGCACAAGGCCAGCGCCTCCCTCAGAAGAGATGTGGGCTTGTTAACAGCTAACAGAGCGAGGGAACAGGCCGGACACCTGAGCACCTAACCAGGGTGGTGACTGCCCCGCCCCTGCCCTCCTCTCTCAGCTTGTCTCCCTGTCAGTCCCTCCCAGACCCCAGACCGCATCCCCAGAACAACCGCCTCACTTCCTGCCCTCAGTTTTCCCATCAGCAAAGCTGGGGTGACAGAGGATACTGAGAGATGGAAAGAGCACGCGGCTGCTTTATGAAACGCACTGCCACAGCCTGGGCCTGGCCTCCCAAGCGTGGGTCCTCTTCCCGCTCTGCTCCGTTTGCTTTTCAGGAGGCTCAGAGCCACAGGATTTTCACAGGAGGCTGGGCTCCAGTTCCTTCAACCCAGAAATGCTAGAGGCAGGGTTTGCTACTCTGGCAGTCTGCTATTCCCAGGGACAGCCTCACAAAGAAGCTGCCGGGCTGGACTCTGGGGCCTCGGCCTCAGCTCTCAGGCCAGGCCAGCCGCACCAGCCCTGTGAGCATCTCCCACATGGCAGGAACAGCCTGTCGGCAGCCCCCTTCCGAGACGCCTCCCTGAGCACAGCGATGAAGCACAGAGGTGCCAGGAGACACCCCAGTCTCACAGACACAGCTCTTGTGAGCCGTTAAAGGACACAGCCGACCCCGGGGGCTAGCAGGGCGCCACAGTGCATCAGTGGCAGGGGTGGGCCCAACGGCTTGCTGAACTGGCCACCCTCTATGTCTGGGCTTGAGCTCTTTTTATCATACCACGGGAACCTCAAAGACGCCAGGTGGGGGGAAAGGAGTGTGGGGAGGTGAAGCTGATGCTGTCTATTGCAGGGACAAAAACAGCCAGATGGCCTGGGTTCAAATTCCATTCTTCCATCACTGGCTGTGAAGCCTGGGCCAGCTGTTTGGCCACTCTGTGCCTCAGTTTCCCCCTCTGTAAACTGGCCTCTGTGATTCCTCTCGCCTCACAGGGTGTTAAGCTCTCAGCGAAGCACCCACACTCACGTCGCAGAAGGAGCACAAGGTTAACGATCAAAGTGAGGGTTCTTACCTGCTGACTGGCTCCCCGTCCTTCAGGGGGTTTGCAATCACCCCACACGCGGTCAGAAGGGCGGCAGCCAAGCACACCGAGTAGGCGCCACTGGAGCCCAAGCCAGCCCCAGCAGGCAGCTCCGACCACACAGTGATGTCCAGGCTGGGCAAAGTCCTGAAACACAGCAGGAGGGCTGACACGGAGCCAGCGACTGACTCCAGGCTGACTCCAGGGACTTGGCCCAGTTTTCTAAACTTAGGGAAATTTGCTGACCCCAAAGGAGGCCCTGTGGGACAGCAAGATCTCATGGCAAATCAGTCAACTAGAAAACAGGTAGCAGATTCGATGAAATCAGTACCCTGTCCAACCCAACCACAGCTCTCCCCCAAAGTGCCTCATGAACGACCAGTCAGGTCTCGAAAATGCTTGCTGTTCTCACACAAGCAAGGGTCTTCATGCCTGCTCTTGGCACAGGCTGTCTGGAATAACTTTGTTCTTTATCCCCCAGAGAAGTTCCCACCCATCCTGCCAGCCACTTCTCAATTCACTTCTACCCTGAGTATCTCCCTTGACCACCCACACAGGGCATCATCAGAGCTGTCCCTGGTGAACCCCAGCACATAATCTCCTGCCACCTCTGCCTCAGCACCTCGCCCTGGCCCTGGCCACAGGACGCTGCTCCAGCTGGCACTGCCCTGCCTTGTGTAACACCGGCCTGCGTGGGTCACTGGAGCGTCCAGCATTCCCGCATCGTAAGTGTGACTCCTCTAAGTCAGACTGTCAGGCTTCGTGTCCTGGGAGTGCCCTGGAGTCGATGTGCTTGGAACAAGGGTACCTCTGAGCACAGCCAGGGAGAAGCCACACAGGGGAGCACGGCACAGAATCTGGCTTTGGTTCTACCACATCAGAGGCTGGGGTGGGGGGGCGAGTGTGCGAGGAATGTGGGTGTCAGGGGTAATGGCTGGTTTTCTGCTCTTCCACTTACTAACTAGCTGTGTGAAGTGTCCCTCTCTGATCCTGCTTCTCTGTGGGCAAAATGGGGACAGCGCCTCTCTCAGAGGTTGCAGTGACGGCGTATCAAGTGTCCAGCACAGTGCCTGGACACTTGGTGAGGACAGCTGATAGCAGCTGTTACTGGAAACCAGCCAGGGAGCACGTGCGTTCTGTGGCCATAGGAAACCCCAGCCCACCTGCCCGCCACACACACACCTCTGCTTCCGGCAGATGGACAGGTACAGGTAAACGAAGGCCAACACAGCCAGGAGTTCATGGTTGGCACAGTCCTTGGTCAAGCCTGCTACCTCCTTCAGCTTCTCCATTTGCTCCGGGGTGGGCACTGTGACATCACCTTGTTCTGTCACATAAGCAAACAAGCTCTCAGGTGGGTGAGGGGGCCTCAGAGGCCTGTATGGACCGCAGAATACAACCCAAGCAGTTTCAGCAAATAGCCTAGATGCCTGGTGTGAGTCTGTGGGTGGACTTCCGGCTTGGGAGGCAAGCAGACTTGGGCTTGAGTCTTGACTGTACCACTTACTGACCATGCGACCCTCCGCATGTGACGTAATCTGTCAGGACCTCAGTTACCTTCTAGAAAAAGGATGATAATCGCAGTACCTCTTCACAGAATCATTGAAAGATAAACTTAAAATACATAAAATCTTTAGCACAGCTCCTGGCACACAGTAAGTGTTTAAGTAATAGTTTAAAAACACATAGGGCACCTCCCTGTGGCATGAGTTAGACACCTGGCCAGGGAGCACACCCACATGGCTCAGCAGATCTCTCCTAATTTTGCCCACCGCTCCCCTCAGCAGTGTACTTTGTCAGTCGGCCTATTCTGCTCCCTACTCTGTCTCTAGTGAATCCCCTCACCCCCTGCATCTCTGGCCTGTACCCCAGTTCTTGTATGCATCAATAAATATAATAAATCTTGAAAAATAACTAAAACACACTTCTACAGAGGAAGTGAATCCTAGCTCAGGCATTCAAAAGTCTGAGTTTTACTCAAGAGCACAAATCAAAATCAAGGCAGTTTTAAGTTACTCCCCAAATTACTCCCTTCCCAAAGCATAATTAGCAGGAACAAGATGTTCAGCCACATCCTGTGAATGTGAAGTGTGGAGATCTGCCAGGGCAGGAGGGAAGGGCATGAGGGGGCCACTTCTCTGCAGTGCTCTGGCAGGCCGGGCCGCTCCCCTTGGGGTGCGGGGGGCGGGGGGGCTAGGGAGGCTGAGCCAGTCTGACCAGCTTACCCTCACAGTAAGGGCGGGGAACTGAGCCGGGTGTGTCTGCTAGGCAAGCTCAAGGTGGGGCACGTACGAAGTGCCATGTGCGCATCGTGTTAACGATACTTTCTAAAGGGAGCCAAGCCGGTGCCTGTATTGCTGAGAACCCAGCCATTTTAGATGTGATGGAGTAGGCTGCTCCCTAGCAGCGTAGGCTGTGGAGTTTCGAAAGAACTGGATTTGAGTCCATCTGTACCACTAACAAGCTGTGAGACCTGAGCCTCTTGAACCCTGAATCTCAGTTTTCTCAGCCATGAAATGGGGATGCACCATGCTCTACTTCCAGGGAAAACTGAATGGAGAGTAAGCGTGCTGAGATACAGAATACAGAGTTCCGAGCCTGGCACAAAGATGCTCACTGTACTTATTCCTGTGTTAGAAGAGAGCAAAAGGACAGTGAAGACAAGTAAGAAAAAAACTGGCAACCTAGTAGAAAACACAGTTCCAAAAGGCTCCTGCATCTCCTAAGACTAATTTGCTTGAATACGTGACGTCCCCACCCAGCATCATGCCCTAAACCCAGCTCTGAGCCTCTCACTGCCCCTGCACCTCTGGCCTGTACCCCAGTTTTATATGCATAAATAAATAAATCTTAAAAAAAAAAATAGCAACAATGCTATTACCAGTCATTTATATGGAAGATGTGTTTAAGCATCCCCAGATCCCAAAATCTAACCTACTCAGTCATATAAAAAAGAATGTTCTATTTTCAGATACTGGGGGAAACCTGTATATTCTCCTTGCTGTAACATTCCAGAAAGTAAGGCTCCCTCTGTCTACTCTCTGACCTTAGGCCCCTCCCAGAAGTTACAAACCACCACGGTCAGTTGGATGTATGTCTTTTCAGATATTTTTCTATGCATACACACATACTGACACTTAATCTGTTCCTCTTCCTCATCCTGCACTATGCTATTTCATTCCACAAGATGCTATTTTTGCATCTTCTGCTTTTTCACACAATAGCAGGCTTGAGGATCTGCCCACAACCACTTGCATAAATGTAGCACATCATTTTATGATTTTAAATGTTAGTAAATAAATAAATGACGCCAATGGTACAGGGTCAGGAGAGAAACACCTTCCAGAAGGGCTTTGTCCCTTGGGGCAGCCTAGAATGACTGAGAGGAATGACACAGTCTTCCTCTCCCCTTCTCTTCAGGGGCCAGCCTCTTAACTTTATCTGGTTCTTCCTCCCTTGACTTACCCAGAAAGCTTGTGTCCAGTTGCTGAAGGCTGGTCACATCCCAGGTGCGCCTGATGCCAATATTTGGTAAGTTGAGGTTCACTTTTCCATGGCTGTGGAGCTGAAGCCTGAGGAACGTTCTCAAGTTCAAGGCCACAGCCAGTGCCACCTATAGAATAAAAGTTGAAAGCAATTAGGCTGAGGGTGGATGGCAAGAAGCATGGGTCCTGACTTAGGAAAAAGGGTGCCATGTCAATGTGTACAGAAGAGAGAACAATATTAACACATGGGTCGCTCCCACCGACGTCCTCAGCTAACACTAAATCAGCTAGGCATGCCCTTTCACTAAGGCTGGGCACAACCACAACCACTCACTTAGAAGTTCATATCTACTGATACCTGCGTCCCCATGCAAAACCTTAGAGGCTCTCTAGATTGGCTTCCCCATAACCACCATGTCTTCAAAGATACTCATAAGAACATGAAGGATGCCCACGTGGAGGCATGGGGGAGGAATGAGTGCCGGATTCAGGCAGGCTCAATTCACTCCTGGCTCTCCCCAGGTGAATGGGACCTTAGTCAAGTTGCCCCGTTCTTCGCCTAAGCCTCAATTTCCACATCTGGGATAATTAAAATTTAACCCAAGAGGATAGTTGTGTTCAATGAGATCATTCATGATTCAGACTCGACTGATGTTGATTTCTATATGCTGTAGTGCCCCCAGGCTCAACCCTCAAGTCTTTTTGTTCTTCACAGAATCTCACTTCCTAGGTGACTTCACTCTGCCTACAGGGATTTACATCATCCCTTTGCTATGTTGCTAAGAGAGGTGAGAGAAGCCCTTCAGTCAGCAGAAGACCTCTTTTCCCTGCCTGGGTGAGGAGAAACTCGTCACCTCTCTGATCTCCCCCCTGGTTATATGTCAAGGTTTCCCATTAGTTTCTTTTAAGAGTTGAGTAAGGGCGAAGTGGTGCCCAAACCCAGGCCCTCTTACCTTGCCATGGACTACGGCATGTTCTCCATGAAGGATGACTTTCCCCGGAGCAGACACCAACAGGACTTCCGGCAACATGGCCCTTGCGGATCCTGAAAGGGAAAGGCCGAGAGAAGTATGTTTCCTAGAGCTTAGCACAGAGCTCTGAGAGAATGTCTAGTGCCAGCCTGTCTTTACAACTAAAGGCAATTACCATCCAGCATCAGCTGTGCCCACAGGCCATGCGGTGCAGCAGTTGGCCAAATACCCAGCTCTCCCATTCCCCAGGGATTTCACTTTAGCCAACTCACTTAAATAGCTGTAAGCTTGCTTTCCCTACATGCTCGATGAGGACCAAAACTATACTTACCCTCACAGGTGGCTGGAAAGGTTAGGGTCCCTATCTCAGTGTGTCACTGGGAAGGTTAAGTTGAATTTAAACACAGGAAAAAAACAATGCCTTAGTACCGTGAACTACTAGGGGATTAAAATATCTCATAGACTCATTGCTTAGTTACTGATACTTATTCCTGCCGCTGTTTTTGCTTCCAGCTCTTATCATTATTAAGGAAATCGTTAAGTACCATAAAACAAAATTATGGGCCAGAAAGAACTCTTTCCTGGACAGTTAGGCAACTCACTTAAATGGCAACCAACGTGTCAAAATCATAAGCCGGCTGCAGGAAATTGCTGCCACTCCCCCTCTGAGCGCACTGAAGCCAAGATCTTTCTAAGCCAGAGTCCTGGAAATTACTTGCAGAACGACAGGTGTGCGCGCATCTTGGAATTTTAGAAATAATGCAAAATTACTCCTTCCAACTCAAGTTTTACGTGGATCAGCTTATGGTGATCCACGAGCTGATGACACGAACCGCACAACGACCTAAATAAGTATAGCATTATCACCTTTCCTTGGTGGGGTAAGCGAGCTCGGAGCCGGAAAACCTACTGTTTATCCAAAGCTGAAAATCACGTCTGTCAGATTCGAGGTTGCTGACCCTTCAAGACGAAGTCTCCGAGATGAAGAAACTGAGAGAGAGAAGGGTGCCTGAACAGGAGCCGTCCGGGATCTCGGTCTCGGATCTGAAACTACCCGCTGCTGAGCCGCCGGTCAGGCACCTGCAGCCGCCGCCTCCTCTCCGAAATCCGAGCCTAAGCTGCTCGGGGACTCCATCCCCCGAGCACCCGCCTCTCTGGGAGGGCAGCCTCTTCCTCCCACCCAGCCAATCAGAGTGCAGGAGCGCCTGGAGCGTTAGCCAATAGATGTTGCCGCCGATCCGCCACAGCTTTCCCCGCCCAATTCCTTCCGTGAACCAATGGGAAAGAAGTCCTGGGGGTGTCCCGCCCTGAGGCGAGAGTGGAGGACCAATGGGCCGTGGAGGCTGTGCGGTGGCGCGGTCGGCTGTAGGCGGAGTCACCTCGGGACCCAGACGGCAGCCTGGCGGGGTCATTCCCAACTGGAGGCCTGACGCATGGCTGTGTGGGGCCCGGCTGGCCGCCTTGGCCTGCGCGGGCGCCTAGGCGGCGCCCGGCTGTTGTGTCCCCGTTTCCAGAGCCGCGGCCCCCAGGGCGTGGAAGACGGGGACAGGTGAGTGCTTGACCCGGAGGGTAACTCGAATACCTGTCGTGTATTGTGACGTCGTCACCGTGGTTCTGGCACACCGCTGTGACGTCATGCGGCAAACTGCCAGGTGACTTCCTCTCTTAGTCCGACGTCACCGTGGGCAATGCGAAAGCAGGGAGATGAGCCCGAAAGAAGTCCAGTTAAGGACAATCAGGGTATGACCCACCAAGAGGATGCGATGTCCCACCAGTTACCTCAGTTCAGATTTAACCTTTGACCAGAGCAGTTCATACTTTTAAGATACGGAGTTACACCAACGATCTAGAGTGCTGTCATCATACACTTTTAAACTTACATCCCATTCCGGAGCCTCAGAACCTGAGGAGTACCGTGAACTACTAAGGGACTAAAATATCTCATAGACGCAGTAATTTAATCTTCGAATAACTTGGTAATGTCACATTTGACTTTTGCAATATGTATTAAAGGTATTGTGTTACTTCTGGAAAATGCTAGTTTTGACCACCTGCCCCCCTTCTGCCCCCCACCTCTCTGCCACACACACACACACAAGGGATCCTGACTTGGTGGTGTAGTGGGTAAAGGGTAGGGGTAAAAGCATTTGTGGTCTGCAGTAAGTTCATCTTTGGCATGAATCCCTAGCCCTGGGTGATCTAGAAAGCTCATTTTGTGAGCTCCAGTTTCCAACAATAAGATGAAAGTCACAGGTACCAACCTTTGGTCTGTGAGGAAATTCCAGAGATAATATAGAAAAGTGATTGGTTATTTCAGAAAATAATTACTGAACATCTGCATTGAATAGAGCACTACATCAACAACTCTGTGGGTGTGGAGAAAGCACAGATTGTCCACCTAGTGCTTAAGCTTAGAGGGATGGAGGAGAAAGGAGTGACTAGGAGATCCGAGCAGCCAGGGGTAAGTGCTGCCTCTGAAGCTGTGAGCGCCAAACCGACACCCACTGAAGGAGCTGCCCCCCGTCCCTGCTTTATATGCCATCACCACTCATCACCTCTTTATGTTTATTTCTCATTAGGCCCCAGCCTTCCTTGAAGACACCCAAGATCCCCAAGATTTACACCAAAACAGGAGACAAAGGTAGAGTGGGGACAGTGAAGAATGTAAAGAAAGATGTGGCAGGCTCCTTTTAAAGTTCTTCCAGTTTCTTTGCAACCATTAAAAAGTATGTAACAGTGTACCTCATACCTCATAAGAGTATGATATGAAATGAAAGATAAGATCGGTGAAATGATAAAACAAACTATAGGACAGTCTAAATAATTAGAATCCATTGGATAAAGATGTGTGTGTGCGTATATTTACTCGTGTTCAGGTACGCAGAGAATGATGGGGTTACTCTGAGAAATGTGTCATTGGGCCATTTCATCATGTGCAGATGTCAGTGTATTTACACGAACCTAGATTCCTGCTATGCAGGCGAGACATAGGGGATACTTACATGTGGGGTTCATCACTGACCAAAATGTCATCATGTGGGGCATGGCTGTCACCTGAAAAGTCATACCTGGGAGAAAGATTGAGCTGTGGGAGAGGGAAATGAACAGAGGGACTTTTGTGGTTTACTGGACATACTTTCATTCTATTTATTTTTGTGAAGAGCACATACTACTACTTTGATAATTAAAAATAAATAAATACCAGGACCTAATGCTTATAGAAAAAAGTAAGAACCAGAACACTGTCAATATGATACTATCGACTAAAGTATAAAGCTGTATAGTTCACAGATTTACCACCTGCACCATTTTTAAGTATACAATTCAGTTGCATTAAACACCTCTTTTTTTTTTTTTTTAAGGTTTATTTATTTGTGCATACAGAACTGGGGTACAGGCCAGAAGTGCAAGGGCAGTGAGAGGATTCACCAGAGACAGAGTGGGGCACAGAACAGGCAGATGGACAAAGTACACTGTTGAGGGGAGCAGCGGACGGGTCAGGAGAGGTCTGCCATGCCATGTGGTCACCTCCGGGGTCGGGGGGTAGGGATCAAACTCATGCTGAAGTGGCTTTAGCTTCTTAGTGCTGTGCTTTTAACCCGCTGCGCCACCAGGGAGGGCCCAGCATTAAACATTTCTATGTATATTTGTATACAGTCAGAGTTGATCCATTAAGGTATTATGACTAGGGAGACAGCACCCTTGGGAGCTATGGGGCCAATCAGGCAAAGGATGATAGAAAGGACTTCTAGGATTGGGCTATGTTAGGTAATTTGGGGAGAATAGGTGGGGGGGAGGGTGCTCTAGATTGTATAGTGTCAGTTCACAAGGGCAATTTTTTTTTTTTGCTTATATTTAATTTTTTTACATTGCTATTCATTTTTGTATAATGCTTGATTTCTCCCATCAGTTGTAATCCCCATAAAATTACCACCACCAAATCACCCATGAACTGTGACTTGTGTTCTCCCCTTTTTCCCCCCTCTCCCCTACAGTATGTCTCAGTTCTAGTTTTTGTCTTCCTGACCCATCATTTGGCTTCCCTATATTCCTCCTATAAGTGAAACCATCCAATATTTTACTTTTTCTTCTGATTTATTTCACTGAGCATAACCCTTCCAGCTCCATCCATGTTGCTGAAAATAGCATGAGTGTATCTTTTTTGATTGCTGAGTAATATTCCATTGTGTATGTGTACCACACCTTGATCCAGGCATCTGTCTTAGGGCATTTAGGTTGTTTCCATATCTTACCTATTGTAAGCAGTACTGCAGGAAACATAGGAGTACAGATTTCCATTCTAATTAATGTTTTTGTGTCCTTTGGGTAGATTTTTAGGAGTGGAATTGCTGGGTAATATGTTAGCTCCATTTTTTAATAATTAAGGCTCTTCCACATGGTTTTTTATAGTTTACATCCCCACCAGCAATATAAAAGGGCTCCTTTTCCTTCACATCCTCTGTAAGGGCGCATTCTTTAACTGAGTATCAATCACTTCTCTCTACAAGGTGGGAGGGACCAAGATGGGCTAAGTCATAATTGATAAAGTGCCGTCACTCATGTTTGCCAGGAAGGAGGGAGATTTGCTCCTTATGATCACCTGGACAGCTCTGCTTACACACAACTATGCAATGGTCTTTTTGGATCTTGGTTTGTCACCACAGTGGCATGTCTGTGGGTGTCCTATGAAATCATGCATTCAGCAGAACACCACTGCCCACCTGTGAGGGCCAGGCCGGTGCCGGCAGCGCACAGCTGGTAGAGTGCAGGGCCAGCCCCTGACTGCCAGGAGCAAGTTTTCTAAGTGTTGGGGGGGGCGGTGATGGGGGAACATGTCCCAGACAGAGGCACAGAGGACTTTCATCTTATATGAAATAAAATGTGTATATGACATGTGTTTTTTGTCTTTAGCAGAATAGTTAGTGCATGGCTTTAAGCTAAAAATAAAGGCATTTCAGGAAAGAAGTGAGGATAGCAGTTAATTACCCTTGGGAGCTGGCGACTGAAAGGGGGTCCATGGGTGTTTCAGCATCAGGCCGCTTTTTGCTGCTCACCCGGGCATATTCAGTTGTGCTCTTAGGATTTGAGCACTTTCCTGTGTGTATGTTACACTTTCAAGGAGAATTTTTTTAAAAAGAGCATATGGGGCTGGGGGGGTAAATGTCAACTTATGTGGCTAAATGCCTTTCTTTTCCCTCACAGGATTTTCTAGCACCTTCACTGGAGAAAGAAGAGCCAAAGATGACCAAGTGTTTGAAGCCTTGGGGACGACTGATGAATTAAGTTCAGCCATTGGGTAAGGGGGTTGAGGTTGGCCTTGGGCTTTGGTAAAGGTAATTAACACGGAGCCTCACAGCATGCTGGCTGCTCGAGGGGGCCTCAGCCTGGAAGCACAGGGGCAGCTGATGAGCTCCCTAGCTGCTGGGCGGTCCTGCCCGCCCTGCACTGCACTCCTGGCCACGTCACGCTGGCTTGCCCCTCCATCCGTGGCAGTGCCAGCTTCAGGGCACTGTGTATGTGTATGGACTGGGAAGCACGCAGTCAGTGAGAGGTGAGTCGACACAGTACACAGGTGAGTCTAGGTGAGTCTGTCTGGGGCCTCTCTGAGTCCTGCCCTGTAGATGAGCACATACCAGCCAGTGAGAAGGTGAGCGCCGCATTAGTGAGGACCAGGCTATGCTGTGATAACAAACCACCTAAATTCTTGTGGCTTACGACACCACAGGCGATTTCACCTTCTTGCTTGTCCACCACAGGTGGCGTGTGTTTCTGCTCCTTGTGGCCTTTACTCTGGTATCCAACCAGCAGGACAGCCACTGTCTGGGGCAGCACTTGCAATCCTGCCTGAGGGAAGAGAGATTTGGTAACATGACACATTAAATCTGCTCGGTTTACTGGCCAGAGCTAGTCACGGTGACGCGCCTCCCCTGACAGCAGTGAGGTGGAAAGGGCGGTAAACACTTGAGAATAGTCACCCAGCCCACCATGCACTGCACGCTGTCGATGGCATGAGGGGCAGTTCCCCAAAACGCTGAGCCACAGACTGTGTGGGTGAAGGTCATGGGTGTCAGCAGACCTTGGCTTTAAAGATTCTACCACTGCTGACTGCTGTGTGACATTAGGCAAGTCACTTAGTCTCTCTGAGCCTCATTTTCCTCCTGCATATCCATTTCATTGGTTTCTTATGAGGCCTGATGAGATCATTCCATGTTTCACCTTAGCAGAGAGCCGAATACAAGGAATAATTAGGTCAGCTGTTACTTTCATCATTAAAACTTACCTGTTTGGAGTATAATGGACCAGGCGAGAAAATAATAAGAATAATGAACAGCCATATACCAGAGATATTTTGAGGGGGTGGAGTGGGGAATGGGATCAAAAACGGGGGGGGGGGGGAATGCACAGATTATGGTGATGGCACACGGGTGACTTGGTGATGGGAAACCCGCAGGGATTACAATTGCGATGGAAAAAAAAATGTACAAAATGATGTAAAAATAAACTATTATATTATAAAACTTACCTGTTTGCAGCTTCCACTTCCCAATCACAGGTGAGATTTTCAAACAGATAATGAGCAGTGGAGCTAGTCTGCCAGCAGAGTAGAGAAGCCAGGCCCCCTTTGTTGTGTGTGGGAACCTGGCGTGGGGGGGGAGGGAGGCAGGCACCAGGTGACGTGGGCAGAGGGGCAGGTAGGTGGGTGAGTTCTGACCTGAGGTCAGAGTCAGCAAATCAGCCAGCCATTGTCCCTCAGTCCATGTGGGGCTGGAGGCCAGGAGCACCTCACTTGCTGGGGGGGTCCCTTTGTCAGATGTTAATGAAGCAGCTCCTGCCTCCCGAAGCCACAGTCTGGGTGCCAGGGGCTGTGGGTGTGGGTGTGGGCGCCTCCCTCTGGGCTGTGTCTCAGGAGCTTTCTCAGTAAGTGGATGATTCTGAGGCACCTACAGGGTGCCGGGCAGGCAGCATCGCTGCGATGGACACACCTGTCCAAGCCCGCCAGCCCTTCCTCTGTCAGTGAAGACCAGCTCGAGACAGGGAGTGGCACGCTGGTTTATTAGCTGCCGAGTGGTAGCTCTTTGTTTGGAGGTTTCAAAGCCGTTTCTACCCTTCTCTTGTCTCTGTGCCCAGGAGGCTGACCTTTGTCCCCTGGTCATCCCAGCTCCCCGTCCTCTGACTTACAGAGGGTCCAGTCACTGGGAGATGCCCACAGTGGGTGGGACAGTGGGTAGAGAGGGCTGTGGGAGGTTTTATTATTCTGCACAGCATGTAGTGGCTTTGGCCGTGGGGCCACATCTCCCTGCCCTGGGGCTCCAGGCTGTGCACTTACCCAGAATTCAGTTCTCTCCAGGATTAGGAATGCTGTCCGCCTCTCCGGTCCTTCATGCTCCTGCTCTTGCATCTGTCATCCATTGACAGTGGCCACAACTGTCACCCACACCCTGTGAATTGTCCCTTCATGAGTGTGACTTTCCTTGGGAACCCTTCAGGGCACCTGTCTCTTCCCTGCCTGGACCCGACGGGTCAGAGGGGACTTCTGAGGGGGGTCAGAGGGGACTTCTGAGGGAGGCCAGAGCCCATCCTGGCCTGCAGAATGGCCCCTGGCTTTCCCCACCCCACTTTGCCATGCCGCCTCCAAAGCCCCACCTCTCGTGTGACTTCATCCAGGAAGCCTTCCCTGGACCCTCACCTAGGCCAAGCTTCCCGGGACGCTCCCTTTCCTCCTGAGCGCTGGTCTCACTTTTTACTTCACCGTCAGTCACGTGATAGTGGTTCACCTCCCCCTCACCTGTGACTAGAACCCACATCCTATTTGTTCACAGCACCTTGCTGGACCAGGTGCTCAGAGAGGAACTGTAGACTAAGAAAAGGCTCCCAAAGAACAGCCACTCGTGCAAACAGGATGTTCTTACTGCCAGCAGTAGAAGTGACCTCTTAGCTGTCGCAGCTAAATTAGCAAAATGGCCCTCGGGGTGGGACAGCGCCTGGGTGGGCCAGCGCCCGGGGGTGTCGCCGCAGAGGCAGGTGCTCTGTCCTTTTTCCTCCTAGGCTCGCTCTGGAATTTATCACAGAAAAGGGTCACCCTTTTGCTGAAGAGCTTCAGAAAGTGAGTAGCATCCTTTTACCCCAATTGGGACTTTTTACATTTTATTTATTTTTAAAGATTTATTTATTTATGCATATAAGAACTGGGGTACAGGCCAGAGGTGTGGGGGATGAGAGGATTTACCAGAGACAGAATAGGGAGCAGAACAGTCAGCTGTACTGAAATCCACTGCTGAGGGGAGCAGCGGCTGGGCGGGTCAGGACAGGTCTACCACACCACGTGGGTCAGCCCCCTGGCCGGGGATCGAACTTGTGCTGCAGTGGCTGCTGATAGCTTCCTGGTGCTGTGCTTTAACCCATTGCACCACCAGGGCGGGCCCAGGACTTTTTCTTTAAAAGCACAACTGGAGTTGCCATTCCACCACCCCTCCTCCGTGTCAGCAGGCCTCATGCTTCTCTGCAAGCCTCCGGCTCTGCTGTGAAACGGAGATGTGGTGGTGGCGAGGACCACAATGGGGAGAAATGTAGAGGAGAGTGGTCTCTGCCCGGCCCAATGCTGCCCACCCGGGACTTGTGGAGATGGGCCGAGATAGTTTAGGTTGTCACAACTAGAAGTGGGGGTGCTGATGGCTAGAGGCCAGGGTTGGAACTGAGTATCCTGCAGGGCACAGGACAAGCCCTGTCCCCCTCTCAACAGAGATCGACCCTGACCCCAATGCCAAGAGCACTGACGCTGCTCCTGGCACACCGTCGCCGTGGCTCTCCGCGAGATCACAGGCCTCCCCACTGCCCGCCACACAGTGGAGCCCAGGCAGGCGCCCAGGCCGAGGCGGCTTGTGGTATGGGCACAGCTGTCTGCTGGCCCTTCCTCCTGCTGGGCTGGAGCCCTGGCAGGCCGGCCCCGCAGACCCGGTGCTCCCGCCCCGGTGCACAGCCCTCCCCAGCCGCCCTTCCTGCTCCCACAGCGCCCCAAGCACCAGCTGGCCACGTACCCGCAGGCCTTGTCCTGGCCGTCCACAAGCCGCTGGCACGTTTGGCCTCTTGACCCAACATTTGCAGGTTAGAAAACCAAAGCTGTCAGGTTAGAGAAAACTCAGAAGACCCAGGGAGACGAGGCTCGGGGTGAGAAGGCTCCCCGTGGCCAGCGCAAGGTGCTGCTCGTCTTCCCCATAACCCAGCCATCCCCAAGGGTGCCACCTGGGTACCCAACACAGACGTCCTGCCGGCGCTTCTGACGGAGTTTGCCCACTAGCTTGTAACTGCCAGCCAGACGACGGCTCGACCCGCATTGATGCCGCCCCGGCTGCCTGCTGACTGGGTGGCGCCTGTGCGGGTCCCACCTCTGCCCTCCTGTGCACCTTCTGTTGCTTCCTCAGATCCAGTGCTCGCTGCAGGACATCGGCTCCGCCCTGGCCACGCCCCGCTCCTCGGCCCGGGAGGCTCACCTAAGTAAGGGGGGGGGCGTGGGGGGGCGTGTTTCTGGGTGTCACCTGGCCTCTGTTAGCCCTGCCCACCAGCACTGGGGCTCCCCTGCCCAGCCGAGGGGACACGAGGCACTTCCCTGGTGACCCGCGGCCCACGGGTTCCTGGCAGCTGCCCTCTGCTCCTTACCCCGCAGAACACACGGCATTCCAGGCCGGCCCTGTCCTGGAGCTGGAGCAGTGGATCGACAAGTACTCCCGCCAGCTCCCCGCTCTCACTGCGTTTATTCTGCCCGTAGGTATGGGGTCGCCGCGGCCGGGGGCAGCGACAGGCCAGGTGCACTGACACCACGCAGGCAGTGAAAAGGACCCCTCTGCTCGACAGTGACAGAAACTGCCCTCCAGCCCCTCAGCAGTGCCCCAGCCCTGCCCACTTGGGAGGGGTGCTCCGTGGGCCCCC